AAAACAGCAGGTTCTGGCTTTTCCATGAGCCCCCAGAAAAATATAAATTGGAACCCCCGAGACAGTCCCTTCCAGAGGGAGATGTGTGTGAGTGCAAGAGCGTATGTGTAACCTGATTCCATGGGGTTTGGCCAGCCCCTCTGAAGGTACACAGCCTGCCTTGCTTTAAACCCTGGCTCTGGCTTCACTGGTCCAGCAGGAGGCTCTGCCCCGGGCAGGTGCAATGCAAACCAGTCACTCGACCTCCATCTTATTCTTCTGCAAAGAATCCATGAAGGATTGCCACTCCACCGGGTAAAAACGTTTATAGACGTTCATCTTATTCCGAATCTGTTTCGGGGTATCTTGATAGTAATTCTTCTCGTCTCGGGCCACGGCCTTGTAGTCCTCCCCGTGGTTCTCCACCATGTAGCGTACATAGTCAATAAGGTCCCGAGACAGGGTATTTCCTTTCTTTTCTGGAAGGCTGGCTTCTGCCTCCAGGTCGTTCAGCACACAGGGCTTCCGCACAAGCTCCTTAGGCCTCTCCTCTACATCCACCTCCATGGCCTTCACCTTTCTCTCTCGGAGGGGCACCGCCCTGTTGGGATCCATAGCCAACCCCATCTCAGCCACGTTCTGCCGCACCGATTTGGCGTGGTCCCAGGCATGTCGGATGTGTGAGCACTCGATCCGCGGCGCCGCCTTGCGTCGAACATTCCGGTTCAGACGCTTTCAGTTGACATTGTAACCGAACTTCTGTCGCCGGGTTTTGCCCTTGGCCTTGGGCATGGCGCTGACCACAGCAGCTGTGCTCGCAGTTGGCACCTCTCACTCTCCGAACCTCGTGCCACAAACTCCTCCAGGAAATATTCTTATAGCTACATCTTTGTTTAGTTTATTTCCCTAATTATTTCGGTAATATAAATTCACGGAAGTGGTGTTCCTGGGTTAAAGTATATACCTTTTCTCTAGGTGATGACATTGTTTTTCTGTTGATCCTTTGTTTCATTCTTTTTAATAGAAACAACTTTGTTGCTTTTTCTGATTATAAATATAATGTATACCAATTGAAAAATATTCAGACAATTTAAAAGAGAAAAACAAGTAAAAACCATCCATAATCAGATCATCCAGAGATATCCACTGTTAATGGTTTGTTGTTTTTTTTTTCTGGAGACAGGGTCTTCATCTGTCAACCAGGCTAGAATGTAGTGGTATTATTGTAGTTCACTGCAACCTCAAACTCCTAGGCTCAAGCAGTCCTTCTGCCTCAGCCCCCCAAGTAACTGTGAGTAGCTGGGACTATAGGTGTGTGCCACCACACCCAGCTAATTTTTCTATTTTTAGTAGAGACATGGTCTCACTCTTGCTCAGGCTGCTCTCAAACTCCTGGCCTCAAATGATCCTCCCACCTCAGCCTCCCAAAGTGCTAGGATTACAGGGGTGAGCCACTGTGCCTGGCCTGATTATGATTTTGAATATATTTTCCTCAGATTTTTCCTGTGCACATATACAAATATACATCTATTTTTTGCATTGTTCTTTTTTTATTGATACATAATATTTGTATGTATTTATGGAGTACATGTGATATTTTGATACATACATAGAATGTGTAATGATAAAAATCAGGGTATTTAGGATATCCATCACCTTAAACATTTATTATTTCTTTCTTTCCCAGTAAACTTTTTACTTTATAGTAATTATATTGTGAAGTAGGAAAAATCACTAATGTGTCCTTGAACATACTTGAAAAATACCTACTCTTTTAAATATTTTCTCATGATAACATTCATTATAATTTAGACTTTTAAAAATATACCTCAGGCCAGGCTTGATGGCTCATGCCTATAATCCTAGTACTATGGGAGGCTAAGGTGGGAGGATCATTTGAGGCCAGCAGTTCAAAACCAGCCTGAGCAAGAGGGAGACGTGATCTCTACAAAAAAATAGAAAAATGATCCAGGTGTGGTGGCACACACCTGTAGTCCCAGCTACCCTGGAAGTGGAGGCAGGAGGATCACCTGAGCCAAGGAGTTCGAGGCTGCTACGGTGAGCTATGAGGAAGCCACTGCTCTCCAGTCTGGGTGACAGACAGAGACTGTGTCCCC